GATAATCAAGCAGCACTTCACATTGGTTCCAACCCAGTCTAGAAGTGCCAAGCATTTCTGCATCAACCCACGTGCTCGCAGGGGCTTGGCTACTCCTATGTTTTGTCGTAGACAATTAAGTTGAACCTTGGATGCTAAAGGCACCTTTGGAATGATTTTGCAGTCCCTAAGAGAGTGAAGAGATTGAGGCTAGTACATGGATTTTGTTGATATTTTTGTCCCAAGAAATCAAAATAAACTTCAACAAAAATGAAATAGTATGAGATTTTTCGCCCTGAGGCCAAATGCTCAGCTAAAAGGTCTAATCACCAGCATCTAGCTCTAAATCCACTAGAACCATCAAAAGAGTATGTTGAAGTAAAAGAATAAGAAGGCTTAAGTATTGTGTTAGCCTCTCACACTATTTATAATACAAACTTAGGAAACCCTAGATATTACATAAAAGACTTAAATACCCTTTAACACTCCCCCTCAAGTTGGAGCATATATATTGTATGCTCCAAACTTGTTAATGTACTTTATCCTTGAGCCCCAAACGGTTTAGTAAATATATCAGCTAACTGATCAACTGAGTTCACATATTTAGTCTCAATCTGCTTCTGTAGCAATTTTTCTCGAATAAAGTGACAGTCAATTTCAATGTGCTTCGTTCTCTCATGGAATCGACTAAAACGTGTCTATAATAAAACCTTTCTTCTACTATTCTCTCATATTTCTTATATCAATATGATCTTTTCCTATACTCAAATTAGATGATGCAGACATTACTTTAATGTGATTTTTGCAATTAAGAAATAATGTTTTCACTCTCGAAATTGAGTTCATAAGTTCAAATTAAACTGATTTTGGGTTTTTTGGGGACTGGACTTGACCACATTCTTTCCATCCCTGATTCCCACTCCCTTTTGTTTTTGAAATCAGGGCTAAATATTATTATTTTAAGATCTAGTTACAACTTATTGCATCACCTTCCCGAAGTTCCACTTAACCAACGGTGCTAGGAAAAAATCGAAAATGTCAAAAATGTGAGTGCCCTTTCTTTTGCTTCTCTTACAGCATCTCAATGATTTATGAGACATTTAACTTAGATGATATCCACCAAATGGATCATCAAGCTCAATAATTCATCTCCAATAGTTTTGTCTACGGCCCATTAATACATCTTATAACTCTCATTTTTTTTGAAAATAATACACATTACTGATTTTCTTCCATTGCAAACCAAAAAAATCTGCAACACCAATTTACCCTTTTTATTTTGATTTTCCAAAATTAGGAATAAAAGCACATATAATGTACCTATTGTGCCAAGAAACATACTCTACGAACCTTTCTCCCTGCTTGCGAGGCATAAATAATGCAAAGGGGAACCAAGTGTAAAAGGCTCACATAAAGTAGGCGAACCGCTCCCCCATCTAAATTAGGTAGATTTTTGGCTCAATTTAACCAAAATACACTTATCAAATACCCTAAATTCTTGTTTGTCACGAGCAAGATTATTTACTTAACAAATGAGCAAACATAAAAAAATAAAGAACATCGTGTCAGATAGCTTGTCGTATTTCCCTTAAGTATTCAAACCGTTTGACAATTCATAATAAGCACATAAGTAATGTTATCAAAATTAATTCTCACTTAGCCAATGCTCGTAATGTGTGTGTACATAATCAATTGAATCATAATAAGCATTTAGGTTGATTATTTCCCCCCGTCCCTAAATGATCATATATCTCATTTCACTGTCGTGGAAAGTGTTAGGTTTTTAGTGTTGGCAATTTTGTGGACAAATGATTAATTTGTAACGTGTTGTAAAAGTCAAGGATCTATGGTGAAATTTGTATAAATTAGGAAAGTTAAGGTTTGGGTCTTTGAAGGAGTCCAAAATGT